ATTTTTATAAACTCCCCAGGGAATTCTCATGTGCAGTCCGGGCCGTGAATCATCCTTTCCTCACTCTGCTGTTTCTCAGGCAAGTTAATAACCTGTAGAAGCCAAGATGGACGAGGTTATGGCACAATAACAAAGAGTTTTGAAATGTCAGAGTCTCAACACAACAAACCTGTACTTCCGGCTTCTTCAATGTCCACTGGAGGTCTAGGCAATGCTCTGGGCAGCTGTTTTTCCTGGCACTGCATAGTAGTCTGGGAAACCAAGTCCCGGTTCTCCTGTGCTTACCCAGAAGCAGCACTCATGACTCCCTCTGAATTTCATTGATCAGCACTAGCTGCACAGCCATACTCAATTCAAGCAGGAGAAAAAGACAACTGCACATTGGTGAACACCTGTAGTGAGTGAGTCATCACCCAGAGCTTTTACTGTACATGAAAGTAGGAAGGGAGAAGGCTTTTATATTAACCTTCACTGGTATGGTGCTTATGAAATGTCAGATATTACTTTAATTGCTTTTAAATAGGAACTCATTTAATCCCCATTATAGCTAGGTAATTACCTAGATAATGTCTATCCCCATTTTACAGAAGGGGAAATTGAGGTTAAATAACTTGTCCTCTATCATGTACCTAGTAAGTGGCAGAGGCAGGATTAAATTCCAAGAGTCCAAGCCCTGAACCTCTACCTATACCATTGTGCTTCTCTAGTTTGTGAACTAGAGTCAACTTGAGTGTGAGAAGGGAGAGGGGAGGAAAGATGGGAGCTGAAGTGTAAGAGGCGGACTCTGTACATAGGAAGCAATCACCTGATGTTTGTACATTCATGCTAACATGTAGAAGACGCCAAGAGCCAGATGACATCCCAGCAAGATGATCTGCAGCTGAGGTGTGGACCTCGGGCCATTCGTCCACAGGAGTTCCTTGTGGAAGAAGAGCTCGTGCCCTCAGCACATAGTCATTGTTAATTATTCCCCTCACCTGTGTTGTTCTGGCTCAATAAAAGGCTGGTGCGGAGGTTGCTCCGGGCTACCCGGAAAGTAAGGGCTAGCCGGCCTTCCATAAGCTTGTACTTCTAATCTGCCTCTCGCCTGGTTCCTACAGGGCTGTAGGAGCCCCGCTGGGTCAGACACTAACGTGGGGGTAGGGCCTGGAGGGAAGGCACAGAGAGGCCTGGGGAGAGGGATGTGGAATGGGTGACGCTGCTGTTAGTGACACCAACCATCAAGGCCAGGATGGCGAGTGACTTTTGGCCTTTTCCCTTTTTTCTTCCTTCCATTTGTCTATCCTACATTGAACTTGGATCTACACTAAGGGTAGCTCAGAAATAGAAGCAAGGGATGGGGAGAAAAATCATTCCCCAGGAGAGACTGGAGTTTGGGCCATTAGCACATAAGGGAACAGAAATTAAGTCAAACCAGACATATTTTCAATGTATTTCTAAAATTTACATATAATTATAGCTACTGTTAAATAAATGAACTATATTTAAAAACCTCCAAAGGACAGGTATTTACTAAGAGAATCTTTCAGGGAATCAGTAGCAGTTACAAATCATCCCTTCCTAATACACACATGTATCAATTTTCTAAGCCTTCATTTTTATATTGGTTTCTGTTAAGGGGAACATACTGGTAGTTTACCTAGCATTCATTCTGCCAGTCACAAGGACTGAAACTCTTGGTTGTCACAGATAAGGCCTCTCTAATTACTATATATCAAGTGACAGAAGAAAAGGGTTAATGTTCTGTTTTAAAAGGAAATTTTTGCAATAAAACAAATAAAAAGAAGCCATTTGTGCGACAATGAAACTTTCACATTCCTGTCTCTCTGACCTGTTAAGTCCTGTGGTTTGGTTACAACATATGGGCTGTTTGCAAAATGCTTTTAAAATGCTGTATTGGCACCTTGCTGCAATCTGCCAGCTCCTTCCTCAGGGCCAGTCCGTCCTCATGGTGAGGCTGCTCTATTTTCTTTGCCTCTGTTTTGATTGAGAGCTCTCCTGAGTTGTTGCCAGGGGTTTTCTCTCTCCTGCTGCTAAATCAGTGATGGCAGCAGAGATGGCCAGATGTTGCTGGTTTTTACCACACTAACCTAAGATCAGGTTATTTTCTATTTTTTTTTTTTTTTTACAAAGTATTGTCTACAGGGTTAGGAGACCTGATTCTAGTCTTAATGCAAATGCTCTAAAGCACCATGTCATTTTGGACAAGGCGTTTCAGCTCTCTGGGTTTCTGTTTCTTCATCTATAAAATGAAAATTTAAACTAGAATCTTAAGAAACATGTGTAACCTAATGATTTCACACTTTATAACAACTCATTTATTTTACAATCATTAAAATAATCCAAGCCTTACAATGCTATCCAGTTACTAAGAGCAAAGGAAAGAGGATAAATGTCATTTTAATTAAATCTGCAGATGGAAACAAATGGGGCAGTTCTATCAGTAACTGTGTGACTGTGTCTTAATGGAGTCCAAAAAAGTTCCCTCTTTGGGAAGTGTGAGCTAATACACCCACAGTGGAATGATTAGGAACAGGGATATTTATACTAGATGGGAAATGCTGGGAAGCTGAGATTTTAAATCAATACCCAGAGGCGAGATGTGGGCAGCTGATGATGTGCAAAAAGTTACAAATTATCCTTCCTAATACACACATATAGATCTGAAATATTCCTTCTTAATGATGATGATGGAATTATCATGCTGGAAGTCTGGAATAGCAATCCATGAATTATAGATCCATTAAAAAAAATAAGCCTGCTTATTCACCACCCCAGCCAATGAGTGTTGATTGGGCGGAGATCATTTGAACACAGGTTAGGGAAGACTGTTAAAGGCAGGAAAATTTAGTTGTGTGTTTAAGGCTGGGGTGATGGCTGCAGTTTCCGTTCTGCTACTGACACACTAACAATTGCAGGGAGGGTGCTGTAACCTGGACAGGTCCCTGATCTGTGGTGAGTTTCTCTTAATTTAAATAAAGACACCCCAATGTATTCAAAAGACATCTTAACTGTAGGGCGCTGAGCTCACGTTGACAGCAGTGCTGTACAGGGTGTTATTCCAGAGTCTCTGGACATTTTTACTGAAAGAATCTTAGCGAACAAACCACTCTTTGCCTCATTTCAATCTTCTGAGCTTGTTCAGCCGCCCAGCCTCTGTGTAAGTGGGTGGAAATTTCAGAGAGGAGAGTTAAAGGAGGACCCTGAGATAGAGCTTGGGATGTAGACATGCATTTAACGGTCTCTGGCCGGCGGCCAAGGGCAATGGCCCTTATCCCTGTGCTCTGAAATCCTACTTGAGGGGTCGTGATTAAAAATCTATGAGATTCCAATACAAGTCAACAGCGGAGATGTTTACTCTGGTCAAAGCCCGGTGGGGGGGTCCCCCTACTTCTGGCAACCTGGCCTAGATAATTTCTAACACAATTACTTCACCCCACCATATTTTGTCCCCAGAAAAGGGGACACAGTCCGCTCCTCTTTGGCCTTTTCCACTGAAGACCCGGTCCCACCACCCACCGCTGATCCTGCCTCAGGGCACTTTTTGTGCCCTGCTCCTTGATCTTGCGTCTGGAGTCATCCTATAGGGACAGGCCCGGGGAGCCCCTGGAGGGGCTTCTCAAGCTTAAGGACACATCATATTTATACCTGGACGGCAGTTGGTTAGACCACCCCTCCCAGAGTTCCTGGTTCACGAGTCCAATAATTTCATTTTTAACAAGTTCGTAGGTGATGCCGGTGCTGCCAGTTCTGGCCACTTTGAGAACCGCTGCCTTAGCTAAAGAAGGTGCTGCGGCGCGTAGGTTCCCCGTTCTCTTTCCATTTCTCTCCGCCCCTTTGGCAACTTCTGTCATTTTGGGTCTTTATAGCAGATTACGGCTTTAGCGCTGTGTCTAAACGTTCCAGCCCTCTCCCCGGTTCCCAACGCGGAGAGGGGTTGTTGAGGGGTCCCCGCCCCACCCCCGCCTCGCGAGGCTCCGCCCCCGCCGCCTTCGCGGTTTTTCTGGGGCAAACGCTGCCGGCCGCGCTCGCTGCCCCTCGGGTCTGGATTATTTCCTCGCTCCCGACTCTTCCCGTCAAGTGCAACTTCGCAGCGGGGGCCGGGCCCTGGGGCAGCCCCAGGAAGCTCCCCGCGCCCCCAGCCCGGCCTGGGTGGCAGGGGCCGCGCGGGTGCCCGGTGCGCCCCGCTCCGTCTGGCTCCGGGCGCGGGGCAGGCGGGGTGCAGGCGCCGGCGGAGGCTTAGGAGCCGGAGAGGGGCGGTAGCAGCGTCCGGTGGCTGCTCGGCATCCTCGCGCGCCGCCCAGTCGGTCCCTGCTCTGCTCTCGGTCGCGGCTGGAGCGTGAGCCGGACCCGGGCGGGACCAGCCGGGACGCGACCCCTCTGCCGACCCACTTACCCACCTCTCCACTCCATGGCCCCGACTGGACAGCGAGCGCTAGCCTCGACCTCCGGGGACGGGGGAGCGGCCACGGGGCGCATAGCCTGGCAGAAGTTGGGCTGCGCGGGGCGGCTGTGATCCAAGAGCGGTGGGCTCGGCGACCCGGAGCCAGAGGCGCAGTCAAGTGTCTCGGGCTGAGCTAAGAGGATTGCGGAGAGGGGGCTGCAGTTCGCTCTTTCGGCCCCTCGGCCCCGGGGCGCGGGCCAGGGGGGAAATGCTGAGCCCGCGCCCGAGCGCCCGGCGCCGCGGGAGCAGCCTGGGCAGCAGCTCCGGCCTCGGCCCCGGCGGGACGGCGACGGCTGGGGCGGCGCAGGCGCACTGTGCCCCGCGGAGCCTGCAGTTCCCGAGCCCCGCGCGCTGCACCGCCACAGTCTGGGCAGCGGCGGCCGGGGGAGCGCTACTACCATGAACTGCCTGGTCCTCCTCCCCAGAGCTGCTCATCCGCGTCGGGCTGCAGACACAGTCAGGGGACCCCGCCGCCGCCGCCGCGCCCCCTCCTCGTTCGGCTCGGTCTTCACCTCCACCTTGTCCTCTTCTCCCTCCACCTTCTCCTCCTGCAGCCCCCCCTCCCCCGCCGCGGATCCTGGCCGCAGCTCTCTGGACCCAGGATGCCGGGGGGCAAGAGAGGGCTGGTGGCACCGCAGAACACCTTTTTGGAGAACATCGTCAGGCGCTCCAGCGGTAAGCAGAGTTGTAGTTCAGAGGCCCCCCCCCCCATCCCGCCCACACGGGCCCCCGTGCTCTGGGTCCCATCCGGCTCCCAGGGGGGCCAGGGGGTGCGGGCGGTCTTACCCGGCGGCTTCGGTAGCCAGTTGGACCTGATTTTTGGTGGGGGGTGGGAATGAGGGGGTGGAGGAAAGTTAGTTGCATCCCCTTCCAGCAAGGCGTACTCACCCCTCCCACCTGTCCAGAGCCTGGAGCCGGCGGCAGGAAAGGGGGTGGGCAGGGCGTCGGACACCCTGAGAATACGGTTGAGTTTCGAGAGTGAGGCGGGGTATCTTCTGTTCCGTCCTTCTCCATATATATATATATATACATATGTATATATATATTTTTTTCAAAGTAGGCTGCAGTAAGACCGAATTCTTAGAGTTAATCTCAGTAGGTTTCTCTCAAGTTGGGAATGGCTGAGAAAGTGGCTCATTAAAAAGATTAAAGTCTTTGGAAAGGTTTTTGGCCCTAAAGGTACCCTATGCTGAGACTAGTTGAACCTAAAAAAGAGAGTGCTTGAAAAATGGAAAGGCAATTATTACGGCCAACTTTGTGTTTGATGTTTCTTTCTCTAATGTTTTTTTCACTGTGCATTGATTTATATGATACATTTCATCTGCGTTAATCTGGAGACACAGAAGTTAAGCAGGAGCTACAGGGCTTTTAACACAGCTGGAGAAAATTTAAAAAACAAAACGCCATTCTACCTGCCACTGATGTTAAGGCTTTCTTAAAGAACCATCCGTTTATACATTCATTTCGTACAAGATATTCTGGGTGGGAATGCTTATGTATCTCACATTTTAAGGTCTTATAAACTTGGCAATTAACCTAAATCTGCATCTTCTAGTTTTTAATTCTTTTAATTTAAAAGTTAATATGCAAGATATGTAGAGTATCCTTTAAAACTTTTTCCTTCATAAGCCTGTTATTTTATCTTTAGGTTTCTTTTCTTGGAGAATTATGAGAAAGACATTTTTGCATGTGGAGTACAGTGGAGCCCAGACAAAAGCAATGTAAATACTCCATGAGGTTCTGTAACGCCTGGTGTATTCATTTGTCCATCCAAACAAGACTTAATTTGGTTGCTTTGTACCACAGACTCTTCATGGGTCCTTTGGATAAAAAAGTGATTAGAACACTTGATCTAAAATGATTCCTACCTAGTGGGCAAGAGAGAGACACACTCGAGTGATAATAAATAATAAATGCAATGATGCTTTCCCTGAATTGCTAGAGTAGATTATACAACGCACTAATTCTTAGATTAAGATTTCTTCTAAAACTAGGCTTGCAAATATTTTCCCTGATTTTGGGGCTAAGTGTATTTAAGTGTCCCCAAGTATTTTTTCCTAAATCTGTGACGTGGCCTTTGGTTTTAATTTGAGGTTTCTGACTTTATTTTTTTTTTTTCCACTATGGCCAATGCCCGATATTGTACAGGTCTAAAGCATCAATGTTATATCTGGGTTGAAAAAATAGCTATAGGGTCTGGCCTAGTAGTCTTTTTTAATATCTACTATAATATTTTTAGTTATCTCTTGTGATTTCATACGTGTTTTTGATGTTTATAAAAATCTAAATTCATAATGGTAGGTGATTTCTGTATGCAAACTTACCTTCTTTTATTAATATGGTAATAAACCTAGAATATGAGGGGATATTACTGTTAAACAGTTTGGGGATATTTAGGGGTTATTAGGATCAGCTGTTTCAGATATGTGACTCTTATTTCAGCTTTTTCATCTTCTTGGGTTATTTCGACTTTACACAGTTCGGTCTGGGAGAGGTGCTCTTAGAGAAGGCTTTGAAAGATAAAACTCACAGGCTGTCTGCTGCTATGTTCGCTGGAGAGAAGGAAGATGAGAATTCCTTGACTCAGGTTTTCTAGTATGGCACCTTTGGTTGAAACTTCTAGTATAGACTAGAACTATGAGCCAGTTTTTAGAATATGTTTAATTTTAGATGCACCTCACAATGAAGATTTTTTTTTCTTTTTTGGCAGTTTTTGGCTGGGGCTGGGTTTGAACCCGCCTCTGGCATATGGGGCTGGCGCTCTACTCCTTGGAGCCACAGGTGCCGCCCCAAAATGAAGATTTATTTATCTTACGTGGCTTAGAAATGACTGTTTTTTCTTGCCTCTTTTGGCATCTACCATCCAAATTCATGAATATTTAATTCTTTTTACACTTTGTGTTCATAATTGTTTCATTGGCTTAATGTTTCTCCCTGTGGATAATACCAAGTGCAAATGAAAATTTATGTTTTGGCATTTTTAAATGCCATCTCTCATTGCTCATGGCCAACTTGGAGTACCATTACCTAAAACCCCTGAGCTTTGCTTGAAATGGGTTAGATGTATGAAGTACGTGCTTTTGTGCATGTCATAAATACCGAGACATCTCAGCACCTCCTTTGCAGGATGGACTTGAGAAGTTGAGAATTATAGTAATGAATTGTTCTGCACATTAATGTAGGTGCACACTGCAGTTATTTCTATATGATTTGGCAGACAAATAGAAAAATTTATCCTGAGAAATTGTTAATTGGGGCTAAGAGAATATTCCTTTCAGGATTCAAGGACCAGGTTTGTCCTATTGAAGATTTCATTATTCGTTAACTTAACAACACTGGAAGTGAACCATTGGCAGACTTTTAGCAGGGAAAGAAAGAGAAGGATCCAGCATTCCCAAACTATTTAAGAATCAAAGAAACAGGCTAGGATTGTCCATTTCCCAACACCCCAGGAAAAGCTTCACTCTTTCTTATACAACAGTATTTTCTTCTTATGAAAAGATCAGATCTTCTAGTGAGAGTCAGACAAAATAGAAATACATGCGGGGAGATGCACAGATAATACAGAAATACGCAGGTCAGCACAGACGGTGAGGCACCCCCTCAGAAAACTAAGAAGATGAGTTCTCTACTTTGCCTGTTTTGAGATTTGGCTATAAAGTGTGTGTGTATCTATCCTGCAGACACAGAAGAAATGAAATCTCTTTCACACACAAAGAGCAAAAGAGAGGTGTTTAAAGAAACAAACTCAAACCCAGAAACACACAGATATACACATGCACTCCCCCCCCCACCCCCAGATTAGACATGAAAGGGGATGGATGTGAGCAAACAGGACACGATTATTTGTCCATTGGTCTTGCTAATGGACTGAGGTGTCAGCCAGTAGAAACCCATCAGAACATTTTTGGATGATGTAGAACACAAGAGCAAGAAGTGGCCTATTTGAGTACAGCTGTTAAACTTGAGGGTTCCTGACAAAGTCCCAAACTTCTCAGGTGCAGCTTCCCAGAATAACACTGCTGTAGTCTGTACCCTAGAGTAGCAACTGGAGACCATTTGCTGTTATTTCACACCTTGGATTTTTATTTTCCTTATATAAGTGACTCAGTCTGTTATGGGAAAACACTGCAGGTTGTTGCTGGTGATTCAAAGACTATGAAATAAAATAATGAGGGCCATTGAGAAGGGTGGACACCCACACACTTTGTAGTTAAATTTCAAAAGAAGTAGGGAATGCCTCTTGTTTTAGGATAAGAGACAAGATCATGTTAGACAAAAGAATTATGGAAAGCTTTAGCATGTGATTCTGGCAAATGTAGAGTATGTTATTACTCCAAATAGTGTAAAGGTCGAAAGTATAAATGTGATAGGAATAGTTTAGGTATTTGGCTAGTATGATCAAATGAATAGTTAAGCAGGGAAGGTCTGGGGACTTTGTGGTGAGTTCCTTACATCTGAGTAATGTGTCCTCCAAGGTTCCTGCCCCAAGGGCTGAGTGAGTAGGTTTGTGTCTAGAATGTTATTAGGGTATCTTCTTAAATAAAATTTTAATTATTTATGGGAGCTATTATCCATATAAATCGGGCTGTAGGGAGCTGTAAACTTGTGGCTAGAGGTTTAAGTACCTGAAAGAAAGCAACTATTTTTAGGACTTTTGATTGGAATTTTAGATTCAAAAGAAAAAAAATTCAAAAACCTTCAGTCTGATTGTGCCTTTGGGCAGCATGCTTAGTTTATATTGTTGGTTTCAATTCCTTCACGGATGGGAGTGCGTGCTTGGGTGATGGCAAAGTAGGTTATTATGAAAAATTCTAACTACAAATTAATGTCTTTTTATTAAAAATTATTTAGTAGTGTACACACTATGCAAAGTTGAAAGTGGTTTCTTTTTTTTTTTTAGTTTTATAGAAAACTAGAAGTGTTTTTTTCTTTGGAGAAAATAGGGGTACAGGAACGAAGAAAACAGAAAAGTCGTCTTTAGAAGCCACTTACCTTTCAAGAGGATAAGCTCAAGCATCCTCAATTTTCCGTTTTGCTTGAGATAGCTAGGTTACAAGCACTTTCTCTACTCAGCCATCTCTTGTAGAAAAGTCCAAAGTTATTTTCCTGTTGTAACTGATATTTGTAAAAACTGAGGTCTTAAAAGAAACCCACATGAGAGGAGTTCAGGAACTAGTGATCTAAAAATGGAAGAAACAGCAAAAAAAAGGACTAATAACTTTTAAGTATGATACAAGTAGAAGGAAATAGTGGAAAAACAAATGGCCTTTTTTTGTTATAAAGTTGTTGACTTTTTTTTTTTCTTGAAAGGTTTTATTTAACATCAAAGATGCTATTCAGGAAATATTGATAAAACCTCATAGTGTTTTTGGAGCATTGGTTTTCTCAGGTCTTAAAATGTACCACTTTAACATTTAAAATATCAAGGAGGTTGAAATTATAGTGACCACTTCCTAAATGGTATTTATGAAGAAGCCACAGCTGCCTCTTTGCTTTAGAGCCCACACTGCGTTATGTAACAAATGCAGGATGTCGCTGACGGGAGGCTGCTCGTTCCAAGACACTACTGTCTTCACTAGAAATTGGCCTCTTTGTCTATCTTCTGCTTGATTTCAGAAATAGGATATGTACGAAATCCATTTACCTCTCCATCTTTTAACTTACCTCCTAAA